GGCCCTGACCTCCAAAAAAAAAAAAAGAAGTAATTTTATTGGAATACACAAGTTTTCTCTTTTCAAAATCCGAATAGAAAGGGTACTTGTTTTATTCGAATACAATGCGTACGTTTTCTATTCGAGGAGCTTTGCTATTTGCGAAAAGTGCACCTGCACCTTTTCAATTTTGAAAATGGCTTAAGGACCTCGGCCTCCTACGGGATCCTGGCCCTTGCAAGGCCCCAAAACCTCAAATGCGCACCCTCCCGACGACCACTGATTGATTGACGTTGAACGTTGAAATGTCTCAGGGGTTGAAATGTCTCAAGGGGGGGGAAAACGCAACCCTGACGGGCTGCGAACTCAAGTGCATAGTGGAAAGGTGCCGCAGTTGAGTTTTTCCGCAAGTGGTATAGTCGAACGAGGCCCTTTTATGGAGGGCGCAGTGCAGGGTTAGGACAGACTGTAGTGTAGTGGTGTGGAACGAGGCCCTTCATTTATTTTCGGCAGACCTGTTGACAATTGGGGCCCGAGTGGCAGACGTGGCGAAGGTCAAAGCTACCGCAGCGAATAACACCTACCGTAGAACCCTATCACTTGTCACTTGGGGATAGAATCACTCCCTGTGGGGCTTTTGAGGGTTTCTGGCGGAGAGAGGCCCATGTTTGGAAACGGAGGGAGGCGTTCAGCCGACCTTTCAACCGGCTTACCGGCGGATGGACAGGGCTGTTTCGTTTTGGGTAAGTGGAGCAAAGCGGCGGCAAGTTTTCTGTTCGCTGAGGGATGCGGGCGCTTACCTCGCGGTGGTGGATCTTGGTACGCGGGCGATGACCGCGCCTATCTATTGCTACCGTAGTGATAGCTGGTTAGGGTCTGCCTTCTCGACTCCGGCTGTCTGCACGCTCTGTTGCCGCTCGATCACCATGGTCAATCAACCATCGGGCGGCCAATCAGTCTTTGGTTTTCTCTCATTTCCGGTGGTGGCCCATTTCGGTCCACAGCAGGGACGTCGACGGGGTGCCGCCAAATGTTGTCTGATGGACGGAACGTCTCTCACGAATCTGACGGAAAGAGAGGCCTGACAGCCTCATGGAGATGGCGGGGTGGCCCCTCATCCCTCTTCGCCTCTTCGGGAGGATAAACGTGGAGTATGTCAAATCATGTAACTTAAGAATCCCTCTCATCTGGAGTCGAACACAGGTCTTCCTTATTTAAGAATCCCTCTGATCTGGAGTCGAACACAGGTCTTCATTTCAACAATTCATGGGTGTACCAACTGAGCTGAGGGCCGTCGGTGATGTCATGAAGTGTCATGGCGCGAAACGACGACTTCAGCACGCGGACGCTCATCGAGGGCGGTTGTTTGTTGCTAGATGGAGGAGATCGACGAGGAAGAAGCAGCCCTGCGATCTCGTCAAGATCGAGGGACTTGATCCTCATAGGGATGAGCCTGGACGGCCTCCCCGCGTCTGGTACGGTAGTTAAAGTTAGTAGCTTCCCCCCCTCCAGCCCCCCGGCCCCCTTCTTTTTCGTCGTCCTCAAGCCAAGCGTTCTGTTTGCTACCTTCTTTCGATTCTTTGTCTCAGGGCATGCTCACCCTAGCACTTCTCTGAACGTATCTGACCGTAATTACGGCCACCCTTGGATGCATGTGACGGCAATCACGTCCAGAGTTCAGTCTCAAAAGTCCTATGGTGAGTATGTCCTGAAGGAGGAGGGCTGATTTGCCATCAACCCATTTTGGCGCGCATGCCGCCGCTGCAGTCAGACAGAGAACTGCAGCTCAGCACGCGCCTACTGCCATCGTTCTCCGAATAGAGCGCCTACCGGATTACCGTGTCCCGTTCTCTCCGAGCAGAGTGCGTGGCCGTATGATATCCATCTGATCAGGAACCTGCTTTGAATACATGCATTATTTCTACTGTAGTCGTCCCGCTCAGGAGGAAAGACAATTGGCCATGTTTGTTGTTGGTGTGAAAAGGAACGGACGCGATCGAGTACCAGACGAAGACCAAAGAGAGGGCAGACGAGACCTCAGCCGCCAATCCGTGGCCCTTTCTGCTGCAGTCTTCGTCAGAAGGCCGGAGATTGTACCTTTCTCGGCCCTTTTGGCTGACTAATCCGTGGCCCTTTCTCGGCCGGAGATTGTAGTTCCTGTGCTGATCAGTTTCTTCCTTATCTTTTTGGGATATCCGATCCGTGGCCCTGCCCTTTCGGCTGCAGTCTTCGTCAGAAGGCCGGAGATTGTACCTTTCTCGGGCTTTTGCCCAAGTAAGATCAAGTGTAGTACCTGTGCTGATCAGTTTTTTCTTATCGTTTTGCGATTTCTGATCCGTGGTCAACTAAACGACAACAAAAAAGGCGGGAGTACTGCCGAGGGAGGGAGACTCGCCCCTCCATGAGAGGGACAGCCACACAGCCACACAGCCACCAGCCACCAGCCACCATCATTGAGTGATTGGTGCTCGTGCATGGAGGACAGGGGAGGGGAGGGGAGGGGAGGGTCGGAGCCATGAACCCTAAACCATAGAAGGTAACCGTTGTGCCATCCAATCCAGCAAATGAGGCAGATCGTCGACATCGAGGTCCTCGCATTCAATTCAAAATCTCAAAAGGGGCAACTTGACAGGATTTGGTGGCTATCCTCGAATAGAAGACATGCTGCATTCGGGGTAACATCCAGTCTAGGAACAGGGTTACTGACCGTGGGTCCTACTCGGGGCAGGAGGGTAGCCAGTGTGTGCCTGTCATGGACACAGCACAGCCACACGGGGGAGCATAGTCGTGCTGACCTCAACACTGGGCAGACTGACGGCCGTGAAGTTCCTTGCGGGTACCCGTCTCTGCTGGCCACTGCATTGCATCTCCGACAAAGCCACACAGGTTTGCATCCAAAGCCAACTCTAAAGCGTATAATTGTAAGAATTTCCCATTTGTATAGAAAAGTGGGAACCCCCCCCGTGAGTGTAGTGCAACCCATCAAGGAACTTTTGTTAATCAGTAAAACAGGATTTGTAGTCTAGAAGCATCGAAAGTCGCGATTTGTTGGCCCATTTGTTTACGATTATCAAGACTCAAGGCTGAGTTACTTACTGTAAGTTGGGATCGTTCTTGTTTCGTGTTGATACGAGACCCCCGAAGCATGCCATTTGTGTCCATTTGTCAGACATAGCACCTACTTCCACACGTACACACATGGACGCATGTGAACGCGCCATCACACTGTCTGTGACAGCCATGCCTTCTATGTCGAGCGCTATCTAGCAAACAAGACACTGCACATACATAAACACACACAGGTCATACACGCAAGCGCACGCACACACATTCTCTGTGGAGCGCTATCTAGCAAACAAGACACTTCACATACATAAACACACACAGGTCATACACGCAATCGCACACACACACACACACACACACAGAGAGAGAGAGAGAGAGAGAGAGAGAGAGAGAGAGAGAGAGAGAGAGAGAGAGAGAGAGANAGAGAGAGAGAGAGAGAGAGAGAGAGAGAGAGAGAGAGAGAGAGAGAGAGATGGCGCGTCGTGAAGTGGACGAATGTGTAAGCGTGTGCGATTCTTCAATCTCTGAAGCGTTGGACCGCGAAGAAAGGATGAGTGATGGTCTGGATGAATTTAGGGAAGGTGGGGCTCATCGGGATCGGGGCGTCGACAGGAGTGCAGCGGACGATGACAGTGTGCCTGGTGACGAGGAGAGGAATGATTTGGATCTCGAGCTGAAAAGGAAACAAAGAAGAGGGTCGAGAGATGGGATCCGGTTGGGAAAAGAGGAGGCGGAGGGGTTTTGGGCGGGTGTGTCTCAGCAGAATGCGCGTCGTCGGCTGGCATGGGGACAAGAGTCGTCAGCGACGAAGAGCAGACCGCCACGTCATCCTCACAAGATCCAAGAAGCTATCGCTGTTTCCTCCCCGCCTTTGGACACAAGGTCAGCTGCTGCTGAGGAGCCCCAGAGTGGAGTAGCAAGCGACAACGTGATTGGTCGTTGTCGCACTGCTTCTGGAGTAGTCAGGCCGACACATCGAACTGGCTTGGCTCATGGGATTTCGGCCGAAGATGGCCTCTTGGTCGGTGTTGGCGTTGATAGGAGTAGGCAAGCAAGCGAGGATCGGAAGTCTACGCGGGACTCGATCGCAGGTAGGCGCCAGAGCGACGAGTCCGGAGGGAGCCAACGCGAGGACACAACGATGGATGACCGCTGGTTGGGGTCCGGGAGGGCGACGACCACAACTGGTCGCCGGCAAATGGGTGATTGCGGTCGCTCCAGCCAACGACGCAGCGGCAGGGGTTCTGATCAAAGCGGGGGCGAAAACGAATGGACTAGTTCGCCGCAGCCAACGGATAAAGAACTTTTGTCTGGCCACAGCGAGTCGGTGAAGAGGAGGGATCGAGGAGGAGGGAGAGATAGAGGTGGTGCTTCTGACAATGAGCGTGGCGATGGGGGGGGGGCACGTAGCAGGGGGGGAAGCCTAAGGCTTGGCGCGGAGCGATTGGAAGAGGAGGAAAGGATCGCTCTGCGCTCGGGGGAAAGAGCGGGAATCCTCGAGGTAGACAGCCAGGAAGCAGCAGCAGGGACGACAGCCACAGCACCAGCTATGACAGCGGACAAGGCTTTCAGACATGCACCCACAGCTTCTACTGCCAATGCCATCGCTATTAGTGCTGCCTCTGCTAGTCGAATTACCATGGAACCCCCTGCTTCTTCTCCTACGGCTCCTGCTGTCGGTAGGAGTGACGTGAAACAGATGGATCAGACGCAGCGGCCGCCGCAGTTGCAGGTGCCGAGATCGCCCGGTCCGGTCAAGATGAGGAAACGGTTTGACTTGAAGATAGACTGCAGCTTCACGCAGCAAGATTCCCCTCCTCCCGACGGCCAAGAGAGAGGGAGGAAGAGGACGAAGTCGAAGCCTGAGTCCGGATATGGCCAAGACCGAGATCGCCATCGACGGCGACGGATGCCAACTGCAACTGATGATTATGCGTTCATGATGGGGCATCCTACTCGTCATCATCATCATCATCATCATCATCATCATCATCAACGTAATTCAACCGACGGGCATGGCAGGCGCGAGAACGAGGGCGGTGCCAACAACGCCGCCATGCTTTTCGCTGGGCGAGAAACGCACAAGCAGAGAACAAGGTGTAGTAACGAGACGAATGAGAGAGATTCAGCTGTAGCTGCAGCTTCAGCAAGTCCGTCGGCGGGCGCACGGGGCGGCATTCAAGGCCTGCTCTTCCGAAGCAGGAGCAGCGCAAGCACTCAGAGGGGGAGTAGGGCGAGCGCTATGCCAGGGCAAGTCGGAAGGAAGGGGGGAGCGGCGAAGGCGGCGGGCGTTGCGCCAGGTCAGGGCGGAAGGAAGGAGATCGAGATTGTTCCTGCCTGGACCCCGGCGACGAGAGGCGGGCGACCCAGCAGCAGCCTGCTGCATAGTGTGGGGAACGGCTTCGACACGGACGTCGTTTCTAGTCTTTTGAAATCAGGATTTACCCGCTTCTCTAATCTGGCAAGCAGCAGAGCGGGAGCGGGTCTGATGATGAAAAAAGAGCGCGCGGGTAAAACACTCGGCAGTAACTATTGCACAGGTCGTGGCGTTTCTGCGTCGAATAGCCGAGGGAGAGTTATCGGCAGGATCGAGACGAGGGAGGAGGAGGAGGAGGAGGAGGAGGAGGAGGAGGAGGACGGGGAGGGAGAAGAGAAGGAGGAGGAGGGTGACGATGGGCGGAAGGAAGTTGTTGCTTACGGCTACCGTGGAAGGAGCGGCAGCAGGATCAGCGGATTGAGCGGTGTGGGCGGGTATGGGAGAGAGGAGGGAAGACGGGGAAGCGCGAGTTCCACTGGCGCAAGCGGTGGTGGGGTGAATGCACCGCCGAGGCCTCGAATTGGGCGGGGAACCACAACCAAAATCGACAAAGAGGGAGAAGGGGGGGCGAACTTTGCGTCGAGTGACGGCGGCGATCGCAGAGAGGGCAAGAAAGGACTCAGCGTCGTTAGCGACAGCGGCAGTCGGTTGGTTGACACGGGCCTCGCTGAGTCATTATTAGAGCGGGAGCTCCTCCGATGCGGAAGAGAACGTACCGTGGGGCGGAGGGCGGACAGCTCTTATCCCAACTTGGAAATCACAGGGGGGATGCTAGGCATCGAGAACCGAGCGTCGGGCCAATCTGGTCAAACTGGCCACAGTGATCGCAGTGGTCAAACTGGGAAATCTGGCGGCCAAACTGGTCAAACTGACCAAACTTGGCAATTGGACGGGGCGATGAAGGCGAGGGGCGTTGCACAGAGGCCGAGTCATGTATCTAGCATCAAGCGTCATGGCGGCGGCCCACCCAAGGAGACATTGGCATTGGGTAGAAATGACGACAAAGAGAATGATGAACTGCCTTTCGAAGAAGTGAAGAACCGTCGGGGTCATGGCGGCGACGCTGGACCAGAGAACAGTAACACTAGGCTTCTTCGTCAAAATCAGAGGAGCAAGCAACTGACGGGGTTTGCAGTGCAGCCGGCGCCTACCGACACGAAAGCAGCCTTTGGGTCATCAACGTGTGTAGCAGATAGCGTCAGACTTTCGCGAGGTGGTCGTAGAAACACTCCCCCTCCTCATCCTCCTCCTCCTCGTCCTCGAAGGGGAAGAGAGGCCTTTTCAGCCGATGGATCGCGCTCAACAGCTGCGGATTCGTTAACTTCTCCTCCTGCTCCTCCTCCTCCGCCGCCGCCACCACCACCATCGCGGCTTCAGGAAGAGAAACAGGAACTACGTCAAGCCAGTCTGAAAGGTCGTACTGATTACAGAGAGTCAGAAAGACATCCGTCGCGTTCAGGTTCTTCGCGCGGGGAGGGGCGCAATACCCTCCACTTGTGCGTAAGCGGCGGCGGCGCCAAATCTGTGAAAGTCCATCAGAGGCCGCGCAATGACTACCCTGTTGGTGGGCCTGGGGAAATTGCTGAAGCGGCTGTGGCGGAAGATGGCAATGCCGCCGGCATGGTGGCATTGCGAGGTGGAGGCGGTGGGAGAAACGTCAAGCCTCTGGAAGCGACTGAATCTGAGCAGCCTTCTAGGGAAGGTTCCGCTTCGGGCTCGGTGAACCACACTCCACGTCAGCCCCCGCCGCCCCCCCCGCCGCCCAAATGCACCAAGTCGACGACCAATAAGAGAAGGGACATGACGATTGGGGGAAGCCTGGGGGCAGACGGGGGGACGTCATTGGGTAACGACGACGCTCCGGCGAGTGAGCCACACGGCGTCAATCTGGAGGCGCCTCGTGGTGGCGCGTCCATGAAGAAGCAAGTGACCGTCAACGCGGAAGGGAGTAGGAGTGGCGGCGCGAAAAGAGTGGTGCTTTCAACAAAGGAAGGAGAAGAGAGTGGTGCTTCTTTCAACAAAGAGGAGCGTCTAGGAAAGGCTGACTACCAGTCAACGAGGAGGTCTGCAACAGATTGTGGGCGGCTCGTCGAGGTCCGAGGGAGCGCAGAAGAGCAGCTTCGCCGAGGCGAATGTGCGGTACGTTATGATACCCCCCAACCCACACGCTTGCCAACGAAATGCCAGGTGGCGCTTGCCAACTGCCATCGTGAAGTGCCTCGGTTGCTCTTAGGGGGAGATCCCACTGGCAAAAACGATTGGAATAAGTGTCTGAATGTGGTCGTGTTTGTGGAGAGGTGCAAAAACTGTAATTGATCCGCTTTTCTGCATCTCTTCGTGGAACACGTCCTGATTCAGACACTTATTGCAATCCTCTTTGCCAGTGGGATCTGGCCCTTAGTATGTGTTTCTGAAAAATTGAACTCTTATTATACAAGCCAAGAAACAAGCTGCCTTCATTGATTGATACTAACTTAAAAAAAAAAAAAAAAAAAAAAAAAGATTGATACTAACTATTAAAGTCGCGCTCCAGGGGACAACATTCTAGTGGCCTACAGTCGTCCCCCGAATACAACGTACGGTCATTATAGCTGAATTTAGACTGAAAGATACACCAAATTCAGCTATAATGACCGTACGTTGTATTCGGGGGAAGACTGTAGCCCAGTTGGTAAGGGACTCAAGTGGTATTCAGGAGGTCTTGAGCTCAATCCCCGTTCGCCTCATGCACCTTCCTGGGCAAGCTTGGCACCTGCCACCTAGAGATAGGTTGTCGGTCCCCCTGAGTGGCATTGAGCAGAGACTGCTGATGTTCATAGGGGGAGGGGACCACCACCGGAGGGGAGGCACAGTGACTGGCCCATTGAAGAAGCTACTGTAGGTCCTGATGCTACCGGCTGACCCCTGGCCAGTATCGCCCACCTGCTGTACCAGGTAATGCACCTGCTGGTGGGTGCAGCTCCCGCATGAGCACAGATGTGGCTGCAACGGGGTTCCTCGTAATTCTATATAATGACAATAAAAATCCTGTCGGGACTCGACAGGTAAGTGAATCGGTTGGGCTTACAAGAATTAGCCTTTAGAAAGAAAAAAAATAATTAAAAAATGCATCTGGATACGTTGATGGTCCCAGTACATTGAAAACGTCCGATCAGTCAGAAATGATCAGAATGTATGATACAAATCACCATCCAGATACATGGCGAATGTTGACTACCGGTAGTGGAGGGAGGCCCTCAGATAGATGGCAGGGGCATCAGTCTAAAACTGTATGTCGTGATTTCATCTACAAAATTGTGTTTCATGGTTTTATCACCATTTCAAGTAAGGGCCTACGGTCCACTGTTGCTATGGGCCTGGCCACACAACACACGAAAAAAATGAGCGCATCTGCCCATAGAGGGTGGCAAGATACATTGGTTGGTATTCATGGTAATGTATGAATTTCATGGTAATGTATGAATCTTTCCAGCTTCTGTGGGAAGATGCACTCGTTTTCTTTTTCCACTTGGTGCGCTCTGTGGCGTGGCCCTATGTCTGTGCAATCTCAGCATGAATCTGGCGAGGTACTGATCAGGTACCAAGGTCTTTGCATCCCCATCATAGCACCTACTTTAGCTTCACGTAAATTGTGTTTGTCCACCAAGTTTGTTCAATGGTCCTAATTAGCTCAGAGTAGATCAATGCAAAGCACAAAGACAAAAAAAACAGTAGTAAAAAAAAGGCTTGAAGAATGTGATTACTAGTGGAACATATTTACAGGTGTCTGATAATTCAGGTGCAAAAATCGTACAGTGTATCAAAATCCTGCATCCTATAAAAAAAACAAAGAGCTATTATAGGTGATCCTATAATAGTGTCTTTTTTTGAAACAAGCACGAATGGGTGGCAGCACTCAGTATGTGCTTAAGCCTTAAAGGTATTGTAGTGGAAACAAAGAAAGCCACCAAATACCGAAAAGATGGCAGTTATTTTCTGAGAGTGTAGGCCCCCAAGGCATAGTGCAGATTGCATTACCAGACTCAAAAGAGTCCAGTATTCTTATTTACTTATCACTGCCTTCCTACGTCCTGTTCTGTACGTGAGTTGAAATCTGCATTGGAAGGTGCAGATTTCAACTCACGTACTGAATAGAAATACTGTTTCAGACCACCTCCAATACTTGCAAAGATAGAAGCCAGACTCAACAGCCAGGGAAAACACCCCTGGACTAGCTATCGACGAATGGGCTGAAGAGGCTGTTTTTTAGGGGACCGGCAGATAGGCTGAAGAGGCTGTTTTCGAGGACATTATCCAGGCACAGACAGTCAATCTCCCGATCAACTCTCGGCGATCAATGTTGCCAGGCCTGGTGAGGATCCTCTATCGAACATGAGGGCCGAAGGCGCGGCTTGAAGGCTGAGCTGCCTGAGTTGCCTCGGCCCTGACAGTGTGCTGCGTGGCTTCCATCAAGTCAGTTATTCGACTTTTGCGTGCTGCTGTCAGGCATGACCAATCACTATGGCAAGTGGTAACCAATCCACTTCTGTCAACAGTAAGAGAGGGTTCGCACAGGAGAAGGTGTAAACTCTAGTAAGCAGTTGGAGGGGGAGGAGAACCATGTGGCTGGGACGGTGGACCCAGTTTCCAGCAGGTGATGCTCCCCACCAATAGACTGGAGCTTCCGAGCAGCGTTTACTATGGGAAGATGCGCATACCACTCCAGACTCGGCCCTTTTTCTTCGGGGAGAAAAAAACGTTGTAACACTACCCATGCCACCTGTTCGGTATCTTGGGTGGAAGCAGCCAGTTTTGAATTGCAGCTTAGCGGACAGCACGCTCTAACACTAGGATTTTCCTGAATGTCTCTGACCCCAATTACGGTATGAGCACGTTGCGGATGTATCTTACTGCAACTAACTCCAGAAATCAGTCAAAAAAATCATGCCAGTACGAGTATGCCCTGAACACGGAGGGTGTATCTGGTATATATGGTGCCTGATGCATGCTGCAGACGATGTCTCGAGCAAAAACCAAGACCTGGGTGCAGCTTTCTCATTCACTGCTCCACTTACTCTCCAAATTGGCTAGTACTCAGAGAGCACAAAAAGACATCTTCAAGGGCACAAAAAGGCATCTGGAAGTCGCTGTTTGTCCACCCAGACTATAGACATGCTCTCGAAAATTGGGCCCTCATCGGTCTCTCTCGACAGAGGACTTTTTCAAATGCTGGCTTTGGCAGGCTGGGAGCTCGCCAAGCTTGGAGGGTGCCTTTCGAGGTAGTGTTCTGACAGCTCTCCAAGAGTTTCTCCGAGCCCGAATTGGAGAGTAAATGGGGTGATGCCAAATGCTCCAATTTGGAGAGTGGACTGTAGTGGGGCAAGACCAATAGCTGCTCTACAGGAGCCAGTTGGGTGGGTGGTAGTTGTGCTGCCCAACTCCCGCCTTCTGATCCCATCTCCCGCTTCCACTGTCCCAGTTTCACCTCTTCTCCTACCTCACACCCAATTCCCACTTGCTGACTCTTTTTTTGAAAATTTTTCCCATTCTAAGTATCCATGGGGGAGCCAACATTTCCCGTCTTCTAACTGGATGGCTATCTCACAACACCCACCTCCCAGCGCGTACTTTCTAACTCCCACTTCCTTTTTCTTTTTTTTCAACAAGTCCTGGCCAGTACCCGAACTTTCAGGAGGCCGAGCCCGACGTTGATCAATCTGATCGGCGGCCGTCGTTTCGTTTCGGCCTCCTGAAAGGTCGGAGGCCGAGTATTTTCGAACCGACAAAGGTACTGGTGGTAGAAACATCCTGCAAAGGCCTGCAGTCCTGTGGTGATATGAGCACCAGCTGGATCAAGGCTTTCTTACCGATGGCTCCAATCCATTGGTGGGGAGTGGCACCTGCTGGAAAACGGGTCCAACATTCCTCGTACACAAAATTACAATCGAGGCCACTGGGACCTTTACCCGGGTTCGCTTATGATTCCGTGATATAACCTCCGCAGCCTGGCCTCTCAGCCCTAAGAATGTCTAAACTAAAAATGAGAAACCAGCCTGACTGCGGAGGGTACAGGAATGACCGTATTACCAACTGACGTGGGCAGTTGCAAGAGTAGAGTAGGTCCTTCCGTTGCAGAAGCTTGAGCCAAATAGATTTACTTTGGGCAGACGAGGACTGCTGCTGGTACACTGAGGGCCTTGTTAGACCCTCCTTGGAAAATCCTCAGGAATTAGGATGGAGTCCTTGGAAAATTTTTTGGTTTTCGGTGTCGTCTACACCGCGTCCCAATGCGATGGGTCCCAAGGAAAACCCTTGGAAGTCCCGGTGGCCAATTTCATACACATACACGTGGCCGCAGGGGTGGATATCCGTCATCGTGCTGGGATGTCTGTGTGTCCTCGGGCGTGGTCCAGTGGCGGTGGCAGGGAGGCTTACCAGGCTGAAGAAAAAAAAAAGGGCTCCAATATCCTGGTTCGAATTTCGAATTTCGAACCCTCTGTTGTGACGCATCCGTGCCTGAGGCGTCCTATGTCCAGAGCATTGGCTGAGAACTCCCTCGCCCCAACCAGTCCTGGAGAACAAGGCTCTGGTGACTCTAGCCAGTGTGCTCATGGCGGGCGGTCAAAAACCCTAAACCCTAGACACAGGATTTGAACTGACTGCATCCCCTTGCCCCTCTGCCATTGGCCACCATGTCCACTTGAGTTTGTTGTCCTCCACTGCTGCCACTTTCCCCTTGTCCTAGGGCCTTCTGGATAAAGACTTCCAGCACCTGTTTGGCCGTGTCCAGGGATTAAACCATTCGCTGTTGTACCGGTTTCCATTATGCCATAATGTCTGTCTTTCATAGCCCTGAGTTCTAGCTCCCACTTGCTTTTATTCCCCGCATTTCTACTTCCATCGTCTTGCATTGCCCATCTCCCTACACCGACCTCGCAGCTCCTGCAGCCCAATTTCCTCCTCCAAATCTCCACCCTGGAATTTCCACCCCGTAATTCCCTCCCTCCAAGTCCCACCTGTGAGTTTCGAACTCCCGTTTCCCTCTCACTTCCCGTCTCTCATCTCCCATTCCCCCCTTCCTATCTTCCAGCTCCAGCATACCACGTGCGGCATTTTTTATGGGATGCTGGAACTGGTTTCCAGCAGGTGCAGCTCCTCACCAATAGCATGGAGCAAAAAAACAAAACAAAACACCTCCGACATTCAGATTCCCAGCTCCCCCCCTCCACCCCCTACCTCCCACACTCAGCATCCCACTGCCCTCTCCCTGCTAGTTCTTGACCCCTTGGCAAGCCCCTTCCTCCATATATCTAGCTCACACTCTCCACCTCTCCTCAGCCTGTTCTTTTTGAACCTGTCGAAGTGGGCCGCAGTAAAAAAACAGGGGTTGCCTGGAGACAAAGTCTGTGGATGTGTGTGGAGGCCTGTACCTCCCAGATATGGCCCATCTTCGCATCCATACCGGGCCCTTTGCAGGAACCTGGCAGAGGTAGAGTTTGTAATCCAGCAGAAAAAAAGGGGTACTCCATTATATAGGGGGTCCAACCTTTGGCAGTGGAAGCTGTGTGCCACAGAAGTACGGGCGTCAGATTAGTCTGTCAGACAGAGAAACCCTCCGACTAACACCGGTAAGACATGCCGTTGTCCGTCCTTGGGGACATCCACCAGAGCTGGAACAATAGAGAGAGGATTAGCATGCTCCCTGCCCACGGATGACACACGTCAAAGCAGAAAAGGACTGGCCATTGTCTGTAAGTGCAGTCAGTCTGGTTCACAAACAAATGCAGTGCTTGAAGCATTAAGCAGCCACGACAAAGTGTGCAGGTTTGGACACTTCACAAGTAGGGCCTCGCTCCACTGCACAAGCTCGTAAATGTATCTGGAGCCGATGCATTCCAAATGTTGGATCAGTCCGAATGCATGTTGTCAGCACTCTTGTTCAGATACATGCAGAATGTTGTATAGTGGAGTGAGGCCCGTAGTCAGGCTTTGAGATGATGCCAGGCTAAGTAATGTCGTGATGTTGGATGGCTTTCACAGAGGGGGTAAGTACAGAACCAAACTGACAGAGTTTCAAGATCCCTGGACAAGCTTTGGCAGAATGTATGAGCACACAACACTGACCAGGTGCATGACCTGTAGCTTGAGGGTACAGTTTTTGTGGTCACGTTCTGGCAGGTCTGCCACTTGAAGATGCCTAACCGGACAAATTGGCCGCTGTCCTGCCCTCAGGTTTTGCTTCTGTGAATTGAAGGCCCCAGTTTCCTGCAGTTGCATCTCCCCATCAATAGATAGAAGTGGAGGCCATCAAGACATAGTGGAACCTCAATTCTGGGGTGTCCTTACCACCCCAAGAATAGAGGAACATTCAGAAAGAGAAACAAAGAGAGAGAGAGAGAGAGAGAGAGAGAGAGAGAGAGAGAGAGAGAGAGAGAGAGAGAGAGAGAGAGAGAGAGAGAGAGAAGAACAGGAAGGTGCAGTGCAGCCACCAGAACACAGCCATAGACGACGGAGTTCAAAGGAAGATGAGAACTGATCAAAGGATTCTGAACTAAGCATCACAGTGAGCAAATCATGTCAGACTTTGATGTGGCAGACTGAATAAATCATGTCAGACTAAGTAGCAGAGTGAACAAATCGTGTCAGATTATGTGGCAGGGCGGAAAAAGAATGTCAGACTATGTGGCAGAGTGAGCAAATCATGTCAGACTATATGGCAGGGTGTGCAAAAGACAGAAAGGTGTCCTCATGCCGAGCAAAGAAGGCTGAGCACCATCCAAGCATCAGTTCCACAAGCAAATAACCAGCAGCTTCAACACAAACACAATTCTGAGCGCTGCGGTCCTGGGTGGAACGCATGCAAACAATGTTTTCACCCTCTACCGTTTGCCCCCTCTGCCTCCCCAACATGCAACTCCGAGTTTTGCCTGTTTACAATGCCACTGATAGTAGTCACAGTGTAAACTCAACATGGGAACCTTTTCTTCCTCTGCTCTGCATCTTGCTGTGCCGCCTGCTAAGGACCTGCTTCTTTTATGCTCTGGGAGACATATCTATCACTATTAACCAACAACCATATTCAATCACGAAGTTAAGCCTTGGAAGCATCTAATCAGCCAATTGGGAGTGAGGTATCCATAGGGAGCTTTCAACCGATGGCACAGTAGCAACAGCACCCATCAGACTTTTTTTTTTTTTTTTTTAATAATTGACAGGTCCTTATGGTCCTGGCACCATATCCATTCTGGGGAGTGTCAGTCCAGTTTCTTTCCACTGGCAAGTCGAGAATTGGAGTACATGGTGAACACTCTCACGCTTCCTTCCGTCTGGCCAAAGGAACCCTGACCATATGCACCATGAGTTTTCGTAAATTTACTGGTAGGTTAAGAACTAGTGAATAATCAGTTTAAGGAGCATTATCCGAATTGTGTTGATAAACCTGCACTGGTCACACTGTGATACTTGTGTGAAGCATTGTGATGGCATAAGGAACAGTTGTGGCAGACATGTGGAACAATTTGAGTTACAGGTGCATGGTATCGACTATTGTCTTCACCCGAATAGAATGCTGGTCGTTATAGCTGCATCTGGACTGAAAATTGCACCAAATACGGCTATAATGACCGGGCGTTCTATTCGGGTGAAGACGGTAGGGTCCCATTCAGCCAGGCACAAGGGACTTTGAGCAGGTGAGTAGAGTATGACACTCTTCTCCTGATAGGCTGGACCACTGTTTGTCCATTGGCAAATAGAGCCGGGTACAGGAAAGGAGCAAACGTTAAACCACGAGTACTTGCGAAGGTCGCAGCCGCATGTGCGCTGCAATGTGCTGGGATGAGCGGGCCTGGGGTGCTGGCCTAAATTCATTCAAGTGGACACATCGTGGCACTGTAGCGATGGCTGGCGCACATGCGGCCACAACTTTTGGACGTACTGGTGGTTTAACGTTTTCAATGATTCAGAGCCTGAACTTTAAATTTGAAGTTTTTACCTTCTGAAAGTTTTTTTGGAGGGGCGAGGGAATTCTCTCCCCCTTTGCACCTTTCTTCTCCTCCTCGTCTTTGCCCTGAAGAAAGCCCACTTGGAGATTGCTAAACTGTTTCTTCATGTTTCTGTCTTGCCTGTTCGGGACTGGATGTGTTATGATGGCATGTGCATGACCTGGACTGACTTGTTAGCGCCTCTGCAAATGATGATGATGACACTGACGAGATTATGGAAGGCTGGCCGGATTACCTCCCAAGGCACCTCTTGGTCGCTTGCCCCTCTACCAGCGGACAACGGAGGATGGTGATGGTGACGGAGCTCATTTCATTACCATGTTGTTCATCTATCGCCTTCAGTCGTACAGCACGGTATTGCACCACTGGCTGTGGTGTTCGCCAACACTTAATGTTCGTCTGATCTGCATGTATGAATCGCACCTCCATCTGATCTATTCATTCCATCTATATATATTCCTCTTCTCCCTCTCTTCCTACGGTTTACTGGGCAGCTCTGTTTGACGATATGTACTACATGTATATTCTACATACATATGTATATATACATAACACAATGCTATGCATGCATTCATACGTACATCCACTTGCACAGATATGGCTACCTGCATACATGCATACATGCATACTTATGGGCACACATACGGGCATACATATACATTATCCATGCAATGTACATAAAACATACGTTACATATTTCACTCACACATAAACACACATTACGTCTACATACATGTGAATAAATATGATTGTGACACTATGTACATGAGTGGCCTTGGGTCAACGTCTAGTTGTGGGCGAGCTCTGTTCGTGCAGGCGACTTGCTTTTGATCTCGGAGTCCCTCTCGGCAAAGGATACTACTCTCTCTGTTCTACGGCTCATGCGATCTTGTGATCAAGGACCAAATGGAGAGACACCTCGGAAAAAGACAGGTACGCTCTCAGGGAGTATACTACATAACTATCTTCACATGACGGACTATCACAAATGAATGAAAACATAAATGTACACCAATGTATTCAGGTTACGGCTGCAATCTTGTCGGAGACTTTCTCAACACAGCGCATATCGCAGTCACGAGGGCTATGTGACTGAATGCGATTAGGTCATAGCGCTCGCTGAAAGATTATTATATCGAAATATATATATATATGTCCTCTTCTCCCTCTCTGCCTACGGTTTACCGGGCAGTTCTATTTGACGATATATGTATATAATATATATATATATATATATATGAAACTCCGACGAAACAGTTTGTCACAGCCCCTCGTTTGTTGTCCTCTTCTCTCTCTCTGCCTACGGTTTTACCGGGCAGTTCTGTTTGTGATGATATATATGATATATACGGTGAAACTCCGAGGAAACAGTTTGTCACAGCCCCTCGTTTGTTGTCCTCTTCTCTCTCTCTGCCTACGGTTTTACCGGGCAGTTCTGTTTGTGACGGTATATATATTTATATACATGCATGGTTACAGGCCTGTACGTACAGAGGCCCCTGGGCTGACCTCCATACGTTCGGGCGTTCGGTGTCCTGTTCGAGGTCCGAACCTGAAGGGGTTCGGCCCCCGCCAAAAAATATTTCCGGAAATTGTTTTGATTTTTGTTTGTAAGTTCTTTATGGTGCGAGGTACATGCCCATAAACTTTGAAGGCATTTTGCTAAGCCAAACAAAAATGAAAAATCGCCAAAGATGACGTTGTCAAAATGTGCTCGCCCACTCGCTATTCTGTTTTTTTTTTTTTTTTCACTTTTTGTTTTCACTTTATTTCGGGGCCAAAAACATTTTACTATTTTTTGAATATTTTTTAATGAGTTTTGTATCTTATGAGATAAACATCCTTAAATTTTCAGGGCATTTGACTTGGGCAAAAACAAATGAAAAATCGCCAAAGATGGCAGTGTTTAAAACATGCCTGCCCACGCACTGATTTTAATTCTCCCTTCATTTTTTCTTTTTTTTTTTATTATCCTCTCCCTTAAGGAGCATTGGGCGCGGGAGGGAGGTCGATGGTCCACTGCGCTCCGAAATCGGGCTGAAGTTTTGGTGTGGGCCGGCGGATGAAGGCGATCGAGGGCGGGGGGGCGTGCAGAGCGGTGCACGTACCGAAATGTTCACAGCACACCAGCGAGTGCCCACGGGGCCGGGCAGCGGCGGGCGTAGATGTGATGGAATATCTTGAAGCCGCCGCCGTCAATAAGCGGCCGATGTGAACTTTTTTTTTCTTTTTCTTTTTCGTTTTGTTTCGTCTGTTTCAAGCCGCGCAAATATTCATTTTCTTTTTGTTGTTCATCTGTCGTTTCGTGGTTTTCGCGTCGTCTGTTTTCCGACCACAGTTTTTTTTTTTTTTTTCTTTCGTCGTCACGGTTTTCGCGTCGTCTGTTTCGCGGCCGCACGTTTGTCGTTTCCCTCTTTTTTTTCTTTGTCTTTCGTGGGTTTTCGTCGTTTCCCACTTTTTTTCTTTTTCTTTTGTGGCTTTTCGCCCGGGCCCGACCCCACTTTTCTTTTTCTTTCATGGCTTTTCGTCATTTGCCGCTTATTTTTCTTTTTCTGGTGGTTTTTCGTCATTTCCCGTTTTTTTTTTTTCTTTTTCTTTTGTGGCTTTTCGCGCGGCCCCGACCCCATTTGTGGCAAGACAACAAAAGGCATCGGGGTGGTTGGGCGGGCGCAGGCACCCACACACGGGGCCACACACACATACACACACACACACACGTGATACGCACACACACACACACACACACCCTACTCTATGACACTCTACGACACTACTTTTCTCTACGACACTCTACTCTACGACAGTCTACTCTACTATACTTCACAACATTCTACTCTAAAACACTTTACTCTACGACACTCTACTGTACTTACTGTACCCTACACTATGACCCTCTTTTCTACGACACTCTACTCTACTTCACTCTACGACACTCTACTCTACGACAATCTACTCTACTCTACTCCACGACACTCTACTCTACGACCACGTTACTCTACGACACTCTAGTCTACTCTATGGCACTCTACGATACTACTATAATCTACGACACTCTACGACACTCTACTATACTCCACTCCACTCTACAACACTCTACGCCACTCTAGGCCACTCTACAACACTCTACGACACTCTACGACACTCTACGACACTCTAATCTACGAGACTCTATGACACTTTAGTCTACTCTACTCTACTCTACTCTACTCTACTCTACTCTACTCTACTCTACGACACCCTACTCTACTCTACTCTACGACACCCTACTCTACTCTACTCTACGACACCCTACGATACTCTACTCTACGACACCCTACGATACTCTACTCTACGACACTCTACTGTACTCTATGACACTCTACTCTACTCTATGACACTCTACTATACTCTACTCTATGACACTCTACTATACTCTACAACATTCTACAACACTCTACTGTACTTTACTGTACTCTACGACACTCTATAACACTTTAAGACACTCTAGAGAACTCTACTCTACTCTACTCTATCACACTCGATTCCACTCTATTATATTCTACGACACTCTACGACACTCTAGACTCTACGACACTCAACTCTACTATACGATACTCGATTCGACTCTACTCTACTCTACTCTCAGACACTTTACGACACTCGACTCTACTATACTCTACTCTACGACACTCGACTTTACTATACTATACTTTACTTTACTCTACGACACTTTACAACACTCTACTCTACTCTACTTTACTCTACCCACTCTACACTACTCTACTCTACTCTAAGACACTCTACAACACTTTACTCTACAACAATCTACTCTACTCGACTCTACGACACTTTACGACACTCTACGACAGTCTATGACACTCGACTCTACGCTACTCTACGACCCTCTACTCTACTTTACACTACGACACTCTACTTTACTCTACTTTACGACACTTTACTCTACTGTACTGTACTGTACTCTACTCTATGATAATGTACTCTACGTTACGACGATCTACTCTACTATACTATGTGACACTTTATGACACTCTACTCTACTCTACTCTACTCTACTCTACTCTACTTTACTCTAATCTACCCTACTCTATCCTACTCTACGACAGTCTACGATACTCTTCTATACTCTATGACATTCTACGACACTCTACGACCCTCTACGACATTCTACTCTACTCTACTCTACTCGACTTTTCTCTACTCTCTTCTACTCTACTCTACTCTACTCTACTCTACTC